AATTAGTGAGAAACTAATCATTTCTGTATATGTCTAAAACTGAATTGTAACAGCCTTCCAGAATTTTCGTAGGTGCTGCACGGGCCAGAGGTTAGTCATAATTTCATCGTTACTTTTTCTGTGCAATCCTCGCTTTTCGAAATGACTCAATCCGTGCTAACTGACACATGACGTTCGAAAAGACATTTTATCGAACCGTAGATTCGTTCAGTACTTTTGACGCGATTTTCATTTATACCGCAGAGCATAGCCTTTGGTGTCTAGGTGTTTAGCTTTAGCCGACTTTTTTCTACAACAGATAAACGGTTTAATACCTTCTCTAGGCCGGTGATTATGTGTTATCACTGAACAAGCTAAATGACGGTAACGTGTTTTCGCGCCACCTGAGTAAATAAATGTGAATTAAATACTGTGAATGATAGCATGTTAAAATAATGTAGGTACTACAGTGTTTTGAAGCAAAGCAATTATGGATAACTGTTAGTCAAATTCGATGTCGAACCGAAAGTTGGCTTGTCAACTAGTCACTTTCTATGACCACTAATCCTTTCCAGTCGCGGAGGTAGCAGCGTCTGACAGCGTCTCCAGAGTTCGCGATCCCCTGACAGCGTTTGAAATTCGGCAGAAAATAGTCTGTTGAGTCTGGAGCAGAACCCGTTGAGGTACTTGCTCGGACTATTCCTGGCCTTTCTCAGGGTCATCAACCGGTTAAGCAAGTACTAGCCGTTCCGCTTTCGTTTCAGGAAGCATTCTCAAAATGTGTTCGAATAATCGCACGTTACCGCTGAATCTGGAGAAGCAGCGGTTGTACACCAGGCCTAACTCGGATATCAGTATCCGTGACTCTGTCGAGATGTGTGAACACTGTAATTCGTCTGGGAAAGATCATTGGAGATCATTTTCAGTAGGTACCAGCACAGCACACAGAATACACAGAAACAGAGTTCTCACTGTAAATAATTTTGAGATATGAACAGCAATAGGGGCTAATGTAGTTCTTTGTTTACGATGCATTAGTATCAACTGCTTATCGCTGCATCCTATTCCTTCCGTTAAGTTCTGAAAAATTCATCATTGCAATGCTCTTTTCTCCAATCTGCCTTCATTCTTTCTCATGAAGTACTTCATATGCTGCACTTCCTGCTGCAGAATTTTATGCAGTTACCTTATTTTCAAAATTCAGCGTGCGTTGAACCATCACTAGGCTTCCCGCGGATACACTGACGACTGATTTGAATGATCTAAACCGATGCCTTTCCAGGAGACGATGTGGACTCAAAGCTATATTTTCGAATTAAATTATGTTTCATCACAACGCTGTTAACGCATTGTCTGCTGTGATAGTCGTGGCTCATTTTGTTCACCATATATAGCCTTTCCTCTGTTACCTGGCACGTTCACAGACTCCATTTCTCATTTGTAATTATCTACAAATTTCTAACGAGTTTCGTCTTTCGACAGTATGAAAGCTTGCGTTCGAAAAATCATCCTGGCGTTTCGACTGTTTCCGGCCAGTAGCTGTAGACATGCGCGTTCGCTACCTCTGGCTCTTACCTCATTAATGATAAACCATTGAGGTGGTATCAGTTACCTTTTTCCATCGTTTCATAGTCTTTTACGGGTTCGCCTCTTATTCGCTATTTAGTTCTAAACGCGGAATAACGTGTGTGGAGCTGATAGTTGCATAATCCACACATTAACTCTCTGCAAATGCCAGCATTCATCTTCGTGCGATTTTCTTTAATTCTGAGTTTCTGACGTTCCTGAATAATAAAATATAATGGAGATGAATTAAATAGCCAGCGAGGTCAACGTATACTTTTCTCGCAGTTCATACTAAAGCTTTTATGTTACATCAGAAGTATGTCATACTCGGACAGTATTGTTTCCTTGCACATGTACGATTGGCGTTTTTGTGCAGGTTTTACCTCAGTCCCTTGTCGCGTCTCCTACTTTTTTTCTGTTCAGTTTTGCCTCTGTTTATCACCGTCCTGACCTTCCTTAAATTTTTACCAAACCTTAAGCTGTGCATTAAGATTTCAGTTTGGACATAATATAATCTTGTACTGTAATTGTCGGTCAACATGGTGAATATTTAATTGCTGTTCTTTCATGTCTTTTCATCGTTGATCGTTCTTTCACACCACACATCAAGTTGAAACGACACCAAAGATGGCAGCTTTAACTTTTATTTATGTGGTGTATCGTTTTATGTTCAAAAAATTTCTGGACAGGCAAAAGTCTGTCTTGACATTCAACAAACTTCGTCAAGTGGTTCGGTTTTATGTAACTTGCCAAGCTAAACTCGTGTTTTATGTTGCATTGGGCCTACATTCTTACCCTTTCATGCTGAGTTGATGTTTAGGAGTGATTTTCCTTTGGAGGTAGAACACCACTTGCATTCTCATCATATCTGTTAAAATGATAACGGCTTCTTTCGTAATTCGTTTTCAGCAGTAAAACTTGAATCTTCTTTGCTTCCGCAGGCACTGAACGACGCTGCTGGACCGTAGTCACGATTACCTAGTTGTGCTGTGTCAGTCTCTCTGGCCAAAAGCTATTAGCTAACAGAGGCGAAACAGCTTTTCTGATTTTCTGAGGCCTTCGATTGAAGGAAATTTTA